CTAAATAATAGTCTAAAATTGGTTTTAATATATTATTTTACTTATATTAAGAGCTAACCTGGTTATTAAATGTGACAGTTCAGATTTAAAGCCTAAGATTACTATGGGTATAACTCAGTAATATTTCATGAGGCTGTTTTAGTCCTCTGCATTACCAAAATAAGAATTATATCTGGCTCAAGAGAAAAAGGATAAGACTGTGTTTACTTCAACCTGCTAACTTTACTATAAGGCTGTGAAATGGTAAAGCTGATGATAGGTGTCTAGTCCAGATGGGGTGGACTCCAGCCTACATTCAAAGTTATTTTGGCTGGTCCAAAAGAGAAACTGTTGGATCCATATGAGGACACTTGAGGTCTAGACTGGTTTTGTTGGTTTCTCTGCTGAGGACTCTGACCTAGCTGACTTTCTTCTGGATCCTATGGATAAGCAGATTTTATGTCATCTATCCACGCTATCTGGGTCTGTTTTGTTTTTTAATCCGAGTGTTTTATTACATTTGTCAACAGTGTGGTCATAAATGACAGACAGCTACATGCCATTTAGTAATTTACACTCTTTAAAAAACATGCATGAAGCTGCGTATGTGGTACATGCCTTTAATCCGTACTTGGGAGGCAGAGGCAGGTGGATCTCTGTGAGTTCAAGGCCAGCTTGGGCTACATAATGAGTTCCAGGCCAGCTGGGGCTACAGGGAGACCCTGTCTCAAAAAGATGGAAAAAAAAATGCACGTTGTATTAACTAGCATCAAACTTTGTGAGGATTAGGAAGTACATGCCAAAAGTCACATGTGGTATAGCAAGAATTCAACTGAGGGCAGCCTGACTTTAGAGCCTAAATTCTAGTAACAATCTATCCTGCACTTGCATCATATTTCTCTGATGTTTATTTCTAACAAGAAAATTGTAATACAATTTAATCTAATGAAATAATATAAGGAAGCCCTTATGCTGACAAAGAGATCTCTCTGCCCTATGCAGAATACAGTGTGATGGGTATCTAGGAAAAAGAGGAAAGGGGCCTTTGATTAAATACCAGAAACACTGGTTTATGAAAGAAATCAGGCCCAATAAGGGACATGAAGTAGGCTACTTACTCTATCCATGAGTTTAAGTAAGTGAGTATGCCCATAGCAAGGTTAAAAGTCTCCCAAAGACTGAACAAGGGAAGAAAAACAGTTAATCACAACAAGCTTTCTATTTTTGTAAAGATTTAAATTGTACAATTAGCTTTTATGGATTTTCCAGATCCTTTACAAACCTTCTCACTGAACGCCTAATTCCACTATAAAACAGTAAAGAGGTTCAAGGCAACTTTTTCCAGGAGAGCCTTACCTGTAAGAACTGCTGTGGTGACTGGGTCAGCTGAGCCTGAGAGGGCTGCGGGACTGAAGGAAGCTGCTGCTCCTGGGAGCTCTGCTGCTGCTGCTGCGGCTGCTGCTGCTGTGGCTGCTGCTGCTGCGGCTGCTGCTGCTGCGGCTGCTGCTGTGTTACAGACAGCGTCTGTGCCTGCTGCTGTTGTGTGGCAAAGGTAGGATAGGCAGTCACTACCTGACCCATAAGCATGGTACTAGGTACCATGACTGCCCCACAAGCTACAGGAGCAGTCACTAATTTGGTCACAAGTTGCTGACCTTGAGAAAATCTGTGAGAGGAAACAAAAGAAGTGGAGTCAAAAGGACAAGGTGTAACTCGGGGCTGAATATGTATCTCAGATAACACCTATGGTGGTGCCAATTTAGTTTTATAAAAACTGTATATTCCTAGTTTCTGTTTTCAGAGATTCCCCTTGGACGACAGGCAGGCTAGGGATATGGCTCAGTTGCAGAGTGCTTGCCCAGCGTGTTGGGTTTAATTCCCAAAAATAATTTTAAAAAAATTTTTTTTTTTAATTTCTTATTTTTATTTTATGTGTATGAGTGTATTGCCTGCTTGTGTGTAAATACACCCGTGTCATGCAATGCCCGTGGAGGTCAGAAGGAGGCACTGAATTCCCCTGGAACTGGAGTTAGAGACAGTTTTTAGCTGCCATGTGGGTGCTGGGAATTGAACCTGGGTCCTCTGCAAGAGCCATCAGTACTCTTAACCATTGAACCATCTCTCCAGTCTCCCAAGTAATTAAATTTTTTTTTCTTTGGGATATCAGTAAAACAAAAAGCATACATATAAAAACAAACATATGACAACAAAGGTATAGATATGGCAAAACATAACTTTAAAAAATATTCCTATTCAAGACAATGAAGGACCTTTTCTATCACACAAAAATTAGTTCAGAATGAATCAATATGAAAGAACTAAATGTTAGAACCGAAAACTATAAAACTCTTAAAAGAAAACAGCAGAAATGTTTCATGACATTGGATTCTGCAATGATTTCACTGACAATACCAAAAGCACAGGTAGATGACATAAGAAAATCAACTGAACTATATCACATTTAAAATTCTGTTTCTCAAAAGGTGAAATTAACAGTGAAAAGGCCACCTATGAGCAGGAGATAAAAATCTGCAAACTATCCATCTGACACACATTGTCTGGTTATTATAATAACCAGAGCATATTAAAAAAAACTTTTAGAATAAAATAACTACCACCCATTAGAAAATGTACAAAGGTCAAACCTTTCTCCAAAAGAGATATACAAATAGCCAACAAACATATATAAAGATGATTACTTGGCCTAATCATTAGAGAAATAAAATCAAAACCACAATGGAAAGCATTTTATACTCATAACAATAGGAAATAACTGGTGTTGGTAATGACTATGGAAAACAGTATAGCAGTTCCTTAAATAATTAAAAAGGGGCTGGGCATGGTGGCACATGCTTTAATCCCAACACTTGTGAGGCAGAGGCAGGAGGGTCTCTGAGTTTAAGGCCAACTTGGTCTACATAATGAGTTTCAGGCCAGCCATGGTTATACAGTGAGACCCTGACAAGAGAGGGGGAGGGGAAGAGGAGAAAAGAGGAGGAATATGAATTACCACATGGAGCAATTTCAGTAAAGAACCCAAGCAAAATGAAAGCAGGGGCTCTGGTACTTTTACACCTAAGTTCATAGCAGCATTTACTCATAATAGCCAACAGATGAAAGCAACCCAAATATCCACCAACAGGTAGAATGGCTAAAAAAAAAATCTCTTCTCCTCTCTCTCTCTCTCCCTCTCTCCCTCCCTCTCCCCCCCCCCCGACACAATGAGTAGAATATTTCGCCTTAAAAGGAATCTGACATGTGACAACATAGATGAATCCTGAGAATATGTTAAGTGAAATAAACCAGTTACAAAAGTAACTGACAAATACTGGGTGATTTCACTTACTAAATGAAGTATTTTCAGTAGCCAGAGTTATATAAACAGGAAGTAGAATGGTGGTTGCCAAGGGCAGGAGGCAGAGAGGTTGGGAGTTGTTTAATGAGTTTCAATTTGGAAAGCTGAAAAAAGTTCTGGAGATGGTTGAGGGTGACAAAACCATGTGAGTGTGCTTAAGGCCACTTAACTGTAGTCCTTAAAACAGCTAATATAGCAAATTTTAAGTTACATACATTTTATCACAATGAAAAAAACCTTAAATCTGTAAAAGTGAATTTTTTTCTTTTTACAAAATGGTTAGGTACTTGGGAGTTTGATATATATAGTGAACATGGTTCATTTACCACACTGGCACAAAATTCACAAATACCTTTAAAACTACCACAAATAATTTCCAGAATTCTACATTTATAAAAAATTATATTGAAAGTTTTATTTTATAAAATAATGAAAAGTGGAATTCTAAGGATGAATGAAAGTACTCTGAACTCATAAATTAATCAACACACATTACTCCTCTGTCAGAACTGACTTGATTTTTCTTCGTCCTTCTTTGGTGACAATACTATTTCTACTTGCCTCTTCTGTGGGATAAAGTTCATTCCCACAGTATGGAAACAGATATGACTACTACAGACCTAGCATGACAAAACCACATACAAACTGTTTAAAGTCCAAAACACTATCAGTATTAAACTTAGTACAGACACAGATTTTATTACTACACTTCACATGACAAAATAAATTCACTTGTATTTTTTTGCAGTACTGAGTAATGAACCCAGGGGTTTCAAGCACACTAGGAAAGTACTCTACCACTGAGCCACATCCCTAGCCTCTTTAAAAAAAAAAAAAGTATACTGAATCCATGCCATTTCTTAAAAATAAAATTCTGTAGTATACAGACTTCAGGACCTAATGCTTGTGTGCCAAAACAAACTCACTCAAAGAAACAAAACACAATAGAAAATTTCAATATAAAGAATGCTCAAACAGCATTTATAGTGTTTAAGTCATAGATGTGCTAAGTGTCAATTTCTCTGCAATAGTCAACAAAATCCCAGTGAATCACCAATAAATATGATAAACATACTTTAAGCATCTTTTGCTTACTTCAAACTTCTGTGGCTTTATACAAACTGTTATTTCCTTTGCTTATAATGCCTCCCTGAACTCCTCACCACACACAAACCCAAAGCCAAGCTCTTTAAGACTCAGGCCAACAAGCTCACAACAAGCTTGTCCACAAAACTTTCTCTGACCATACTTTTCACTTGCTTGCCTCTACCCAGACAACTGCTCATTTCCTCCCCCTAAAGTTCTGTCATAGTCATTAGACCAAATATTTGTGAGTTGGCTATCCTTTTATTCTTACGATCTTGGTCACTGCCTTGTAGAAATGATTAGGCTTTAAATGTTTGTTGAAGTACATTTCATCTCTTCAAAAAAAATTGTAAGTGGTTAATAAACTGCATCCTCCAAAATGCTTATCAGCAATTTAGTTTATTATCTTTCTTCTCAGGGTTTAAAATCAGGCTTCTGGCTGGATGTGTGTGTGTACCTCAATGAAAATAGTGTGTGCTTTTTTTTAGTATGCAGAAGACCGTGGGTCCAACCTCCAGCAACAAAAAAACAAACAAAAATAAATCAGTCCACTGTAGATTCATAAGACTTCCTTAAGAGTATGAATGGTAAGGGTGGACTTTTTAAGTTGAGAGAGCTGAGCTCCAAGGACAGCAAGTAAGTCTCTTTACTCTCACTGTCCATATAATCCTGTAGCTTCGTTGAGTCTGAAAATCATTTGTGACTTAAAGAATTACAGTATGAAATAAGGAAAAGAAAAAAGAATATTTTCAAATTATATATTTAAGATCACAGAGAGGTCATAGTTAAAAGAGAATCCCAGCATACAAATTAAATTTATTAAAATATTTTATTTCTAATTCAGCTGTTGGGACTTCTCATTAAAGACACCAATGCCTGTTTTTCTTTAATAGTAGTATCTGTTTGGGAACCTAAACTTTGAAATCACACGAGTTCACGGCCACCTCCTCAATGACTTAGCCAGTTATAGGACCTTGGTCAAATAATTTTAAATGCACATTTTTCTTATCTGAGACACGAGGAAATAAAGGAGGAAATTAACGTACATCAAGAAAAAAATATTTTTGGCAAAAAGGTAAGCTACTCTAATGCTACTACTACATGTAAACTCTCTTATTATCTTTACTGAAAAGACACAAGTTGCACAGTAACACAGAACCTGCTATAAAATGTGGCTTCTATATTTGGTAGCACCATTTTGGATGAGAAATAAAATTTGATACTATTAGTTCTTTAAATAATGGATATGGTTTTAATTTAAAGTTTAAAAACAATGGCTATATAGCCAAGCGTGGTGGTGCACGCCTTTAATCCCAGTACTTGGGAGGCAGAGGCAGGTGGATCTATGTGAGTTTAAGGCCAGCCTGGTCTACATAGTGAGTTCTAGGACAGCTAGGGCTACAGGGAGACCCTGTCTCAAAAAAAACAAAACAAAACAAAAAAACAAAAACAACCCCACAACGGCTATAGTAACAATGAACTAAAATGACATTGTAAAAAAATTATTAGTTTTGGAGAGAAACATAGTACTGAGGATTGAACTGAGGATCATATACATACTAGGCGAGTACTTTATTACAGAGCTATATCCCTAGCCCCAATTTATGCATATTATTTTTGCATGTAGGTATCCTCAAGAGGCCAGAGAGGGTGTCAATAGTCCCTGGAGCTGGAGTAACATGCAGTTGTGAGCTGCCTGATGTGGGTGTTAGGAACCAAATTCAGGTCCTCTGGAAGAGCAGCATTTGCTTTTAACTGATGAGCCATCTCTCCAACCCATACTCTTTTTAATCAATTTAAACTCTGAAAATAACAAATGAAATATGATTACCTTATTTGTCTGTCCTGAGTGAACGTGGTTACTGTGGCACTCTGGGTACTGTTCTGCGGCATACTAGATGGAATTTGGACCATGCTCCCAGGTGCAGGCTGAGAAATCACCATTGTGTTATATAGTGGGGCTGTAAGAGTGCTCTGCGTCTGACTTGCAAGAGATGTTTGCTGACTATGCCCACTCATTACACTTTGTTGACTCTGCTAGAGAAGAGAAGGTTTTACAGAAGTGATCAATACACAGTCATATGGGGAGTGTGCTTCTACTACACATTTTAACAAGCTGACGTAACAGAGAAAGAGTGGCAAAATCCATTATTCTGAGAAATCTAATTAGCAAAGATTGACTTGTAGCTATGAATTGTCTTGAACTTTGATGGAAGGTAAACTAGGACTTTAAAAGAAGCATGATCTTAACAGAGATAGTGGAAAATATACATAAAAGGTGTCTGTTAAATGCCCAGAGCAAGCCAGTGGCAGTTCAGATGAATATCATGTATTTTCACTGTAATAACAGATGTACATTATTACCATAATTTTGCAGACCGTTAATTCAACTAATAACTGCTCCCCCAACAGTTTATTCTGCATGTTTCCTACTCAGCTTCCTTTGTAAATCAAATATTTTTAACATGTAGGAATAGTCTGCAAGTTACAAGACCCTGTATTAAACTATATCCTTAATCTGCAAAACTGGCAAATGTCAAAATATTTAACAGTAATATATTTTCCACAAAATATTTTAATGATTACTGTCAATATTGTATGTTCTCATTTTTATTAAATGTTGAGAACCAGTGTAACATAGAGCTTTTTGTTTTAATGTTAGTATGCATGTCAATCACTGAATACTCCAAAGAACATTGTACTGAACAACATTACCTGAGTTGATGTACTTTGTAAACTCTGCTGTTGTATCAAGTGCTGGCTCGTGCCAATATGTCCAGCATTCATTCCACTTTGAATTTGGTTAGTGGGAACAACTTGGCCTTGCATATTTATTGGTGTGAGTTGCTGGATGTTAGAAGAATTTCCAGAGGAAAGTTGAACAGAACCAAAATTCAATCCAGGGTTTGACTGTTGCAAAAACATCTTTGAAAACAAAGATTATATTTAAATGAGATTTCTTTGGGCTGGTGACATGAATTAGCTAGTTAAAGTGCTTGTTGCATAAGCCAAATGACCTGAGTTTGATCCCTGGATTCCATGGTGGAAGCACTCATTCCCAAATGTTGTCATCTGACTTTCATACATATCCTGTCAAATGTGCATGCCTACACGCATACACATAAAGTAAAAACAATAAATAAAATGTTACAAAATTTATTTTACACATAAAATAAAAATATTAAAAAAATTTTTTTTATGTGTAGGAGTGTTTTGCTTGCATGTATGTAAATGCACCATGTACATGCAATGCCTATAGAGACCAGAAGAGGGTGTCAGAGCCCCTGGAACTAGAGTTACAGGCGGTTGTTAGCTGCCACGTGGGTGCTGGGAACCAAACCTGGGTCATCTGTAAGAGCAGCCAGTTGTCTAAACAGCTGAGTCATCTCTCCAGCCCAATAAATAAAACATATTTTTGGCTTTTTTTTGTGTTTTGAGACAGGGTCTCCCTGTAGCCACAGCTGGCCTGGAACTTGCAATATAAACCAGGCTGGCCTCGATCTCATCCATCTGTCTCTACCTCCCGAGTGCTGGGATGAAAGGTGTGTACCACCATGCCTCATGTTAAAAAATTTTTTTTTTGTCTTTTTGAAGCAGGGTCTCACTATGGAACTCACTATGTAGACCAGGCTGGCCTTGAACTCACAGAGATCTGCCTGCCTCTGCCTCCCTAGTGCTGGGACTACAGGCGTGCGCCACCACGCCTGGCTTAAAATAATTTTTTAATGAGATTTTTTTTGTCCTGGGGATCAAACTCAGGGCCGGAAGTGTTCTAGTCAAATACTCTACTAGTAAGCTACATTCCCAGCTTGCATAAAGCTTTGTAGTTTAAAAACAGAGTAAGAAGAACACTGAAAGAAAGCAAAATGAAGTTTAAAATTAATTTTAAAAGTGAAGTAACAAGTCAGACATTTTGAGGGAACAATTAATTAGCAATAATTACTGAATAAAATATGGAACTATTCATTCTTTTACTCATCCAAACCTTATCATGCTTTCGATAGTTTGAAGCATGAGTAACTAACTCAGTGCTATGTAAAGGGTTACTGTTGGCAGCTTTGTATCATCCATCATTTATAATTTATGATAGTACCCAGAATAGTGTTCACCTAAAGTTTCCCTTTAGCAAATCTGGTCCCCTAGATGGCCCTGTTAGTCAAGTAAGAGGAACATGAATTATTCCTATTGGTATTTTATTCAAACTGTTATAAATTTTCTACCTCAAAGGTTTTATAAAATATAACTTTTATATTATGCCTTCGAGCTCACTAAAATTGGGAGTTCACTAGTCTAGTAAAATAAGGATGTTGATGGAAATACCCTTAGGAATGAGTATCTTTACAAGTTTTTATACGTTTATCAAGTAACCAAATGGGTGTTTAAATGACTTTTCATGAAGAAAAAACAGCCAATTTTCCAGGAATTCAAAATGTAAATGAGATATTCTGTGTTCAGATATAACAATAACTCACCTGCAGTCCTTGACCATGGACCATTTGAAGTTGTTCTTGAATTTTCCTTAGTTCTTCTTGTTGCCGATGAATATTTGCCTCTATCATCCGTGTCCGTTGCTCCAGCTGGTCTTTCAGATGCTGCATGGCTCCTAATTGAGCTGAAAACTGAAACTGAGGTATGACATGTAGAGAAGGAACAACGTATTTTAAAATTACTTGTTCCTCCTTACTGTGTAATGTGAAAAGTAAGCAGTTTGTCATGAGACAAGTTATGCCATCTATCAATGTATTGCCTCTCTCTTCCCCAACTCCCATCTTTGTTCTCCTTTGTGACATTGGAACTAGACCTTAAATAATCATTCCCTTTAGCAGCAAATTCCTCGTTAACCTTTTCAGCAGATGCTGCTAGAGGGAGGCTGCAAGGAAGGTGCTTATCTTGCCTGGTGCTTTTCCTTCTCTTTTGTCTGAATTGCCAGTGGTAGCTTCCTGGTGAATCTCATCAGCACCCCAACAGGTAACCTCCCAGCAAGTCTCAAAGACATCTTTGTGGGCAATTTTCCAGCAGATGGCTTCTTGCTCTCTGGCCCTCTTTGTGGCACCTCAGAGAACTTCTCTACCCAGTAACAGCCATGTCAAGTCCAGTCTGGTGCAGAGTAAGAGGTCTTAAGAGGCTGAAAGTCTTCTAAGTATGTCCGTTCCTTGGCTTTTTCATCATACTTGAGGTAGTAGTTGCTCTCACATCACCTATTCCTTTTTTTTAATTAAAAAAATCCATTTATTTATTTGGGGAGGGGCACATGCCATGGCATGTGTGTGGAGGTCTAAGGAAAGCTTGCGGGAGTTGTTTTTTTTCTTTCACTATGTGGATCTGAGGTATGGAACTCAGGCTTGGCAACAGGCATCTTTATTTACCCACTGAGCATCTAGCCTACCCTCCTATACTTACAGGTTTAGATCCTCTTCTTTTAGTTACTAGCTAATAAAATTTCATATTATTCTTGTTTAAACTGTGGTATGCTCTCAATTTCTGAGTGGATCTTGACTGATTACAAGAAGAACCTGCAGTTAGAAGATCTGAGCTCTGCTGGAAGTAGTAGTGTACACCTTTAATCCCAGCACTCAGGAGGCCAAGGCATGAAGAGCTCTGTGAGTTCAAAGGCAGCAGAGTCTACATAGTGAGTTCCAGGCCAGCCAGGAATATACAAAGACTCTTATCTCAAAAAAAAAAAGACCACCTGAGTTCATATTAGCCACTTACTATAAGAGGTTACTTAACTTTGTCTTCATTTCTTTTCTTTCTCAAATGAGAATGTGTCCCATCTATTGCTAGAGTGAATCCAGAGTAAATTCTGTCATCTCTAAAATGCCCTTTATGTGCACATCAGCACTATACAAAGTTAGGCAGGAGGATCAAAATGTCAAGACCTGTCTGGGCGACTCAGGTAGGCCCCATCTCAAAATCAAACAGTAAAAAGAAAGGGCTTAAGGGCTTAGTTGTAAAGCGTTTGCCTGGCATGTTCAAGGCCTTGAGTTCAGTTCCCAGTATCCACACTGCCCATTCCTCCCCACATACACAAAATCGTTTACAGAAATCTGACAAATAACCAATATTATTATTTTCATTCACTGAGTTTTTCAAGTGGTACTAGTCCTTAGACAAGTTTAAAACATAAGCTTTAAAAGTAAAGACTAAGTAATTTTAAGTGATTATGAATAAATTAATGTACACACAAATGAAAACAAAGTTATTCTACTTTCAGGGTTTTTAATTTTCTTTATGTCCTATTCATAAGCTGCTCCTGTAATTTAGCCATACTTGATTCACTTCTCATTTAATTATTTCCCTGAGTATTGAGCACATTGTAAGAGCAGTGTATTTTACTTGACTGGAAATCTGGCTTGTAACTTTCCTGCAGTAAACGGCAACTAAAATGAAAAAAAATGCCTGCCCAATCTTTTTTTATTCTATCTTCAAAAAGACAGTACTAAGTGAGTTAAATTTTTACTAGTTTGTGATACTGAGTATTATTTTTCTTTTCTTCTTTCTGTTTTTGAAATGGTCTCACTGTGTAGCCCTGACTGGTTTGGAATTCTCTTATGTAGGCCAAGCTGGCTTCAAACCTGCAGTGATCCTCCTGCTTCTGCCTGCCAGATGCTGGGATTGCACACCATTAGGCCTGGCTTCTGAATACTACTTTTCAAAGCATGAAACTTGATTTCTGAAGCCAGCAACAACAACCAGATTACATCATGTATTAGATTATACTAGGCTTGAGTGAAATTATAGATTTAGTATCTCAACTTTTTCCTACCTCCTAAAAATGTTAGTTAAAATATGCTACATTTATTTCTATATTACACAAATATCTCTCTATAATAATAAATGCTTAATTGGTATCGAGATTAAAGAACAAAAATTTTGAAAATATGCCTGATATTTACATAAAAATTCTGTCAATATATCAAAATAAGATTTGAAGACTCAATGTTGGTTAAAAATTGTCATACATAAATATTTAATAACATCCTGTTATAGAGCTCTTACAGGACAGTATTGTTAGCTATGAGGATTCAGTGCCAAATAAATCAGTCAGAAGATTTTTCATTATGTTCATAACTGTTCAGTAGTGTTCCTAATGTTTCTGAAGCTTTGAAAGTTATAAATCACAAGTTGAAAAGGTAGCAGCAGTGTTCTTAGAATTACTTTTCTCTTGCTAATTTCTGCATTCAGGCCTCCTTTGACTTGGGCCATGCAACACTCCTAAAAAGCTTTCCTTCAGTTTTTTGTTGTTGTTTTGATTTAAGACAGAGGCTCCTGTAGTTCAGGCTGTCCTTGAACTCACTATATAGCCAAGGATGACCTTGATCTCCTGATCTTCCTTCCTCTACCTCTCACTTGCTGGGATTAGAAAGCATGTACTGCCAGGCTTAGCTTCTTCCATTTCTTTAGGTTGTACTAAGAGCCCAAATAATGTGCACAGACTATATAATGTGGTAGTTTAGTCATCCGTCATTCCCTCTAGATGAAATAGCTTTTAAGTATGGATATACTATCAGCATCCCTGATACCTATTCCATACATACAACTCAATAAATATCCTGTGTGTGAACAAATGAATTCATACATAACTATAGCTACTTAAATCTTCTAATATCCAAAGAACAAAATGAACTCATTTAATATGTATGTAACTATAGTGTTCTTCTACATGAAAGGTGTTGCAGTTTATGGTTTATTAAGCAGTAAAATTCTTTGTTGTATAAGACCATCATGAAGCTTAATCTTTTCTTTTCTTTTTTTTTAAATCAGAGAATCTTGCTATATAGCCCTAGTTGACCTGAAGCTTGCTATGTAGACCAGGCTGGCAATGAACTCCTAAGAGATCTTCCTGCTTCTGCCTCCTGAATGGTAGGATTTGATGAATTTTGAATGATATTTAGCACGCATGATTCTGTCTATTAAGGTTAGTGGTATCCAAAATCATTATAACAGACAAAAATGCCTCTATATATTCTAAATGCTTTCAGTTCAGAGTCACTGTATTTATATACATATATGTAAATCTTACTAGCTTAAAAGCAATTATCATTTGTAAATGCTCAACTAAAACAAACAAAAATACCTGCGACATGCCTTGTGGAACTGGTAAATTTGCAGCTTGAGACATCACTGGCTGTGTTAAAGATGGACCAACAGACTGGGAGTTCATGGACTAGAAGCAAAATAAAAAATGACAATGAAGTGATCACACACACATACCAATGAGTACTTCCCCACAAATATCGACAACAGTGACACAGTATGTTTATCGTCGAACTTACAATCTATCTCTTTTGTTGGTACTGTATGTCGCCCTTTCTACTCTTCATCTTTTCTTATCATGGTTCCCAGCACAGTCCCTTGCATGTACACTAAGCTGAAAGCTGGGCAGCCTCAACTGAAGATAATTGGATCATAAGAGCAGCTCTCAACTATCACTTTTCCACAACTAAAACCAAAAATCTAACATTTTATCTGGATGATGAGAAAGATCTTGATTTTGTCAACAACTATTTTTACAGAAAGGGTAGTTTACAGATCAAGGAATTCCTAAGGGTTTAGAACATTAACTAAAAAGTGTACCTGACTGCTGAAAGATGACCTCCGCTGTGCCATCTTCTCATGAGCTGGTAAATGCTGTCTGGGAGGAGTGCTAGTATCAGTTGGGATCTTTGTTGGTGTTGCTGCAGTTAATCAACAAAAAGAAAACAGTGCTTACAGTTTTCAACCATTAACCTCAAAATGCACTTCAGTGAATAAAAATGGTTCCTTAGTTTTCTAAGCTATTAGATAAAAGGGAAATCCATGTCTATAAGATTAATTTTAATTACCTCTATCTTTTCTAAGGAGAAAGAAAATATATGAGATAGGAAAATTTTAAAAACAGTTGCTATAGTCATTCTCTCAATATCCACAAGGGATACTGGTATCAGAATTACATACAGATATCAAAATCCATGCACATTAAAGTCCCTTCTATTAAATAATGTAGTATTTTCCTATCACCTATGAACATCCTCTTGAATGTACTTTAACACCTCTATATACTTTAAATAAACTCTATTCATAGTACCTAATACAACGTACACTTGATACAAATAGCTGTTAAATTATTTGCAAGATACTGACAAGGAAAAAATGTCTGCACATGCTCATTACAGATACAACTGAGGAGGTATTTTCTATCTATAATTGGTTAAGTTTACAAATATAGATATAGAGGACCAAACTATAACTTAAAGACAATTATGCAAGTCTTCCTAAAAGTTAAACTTTAAAAAAGCAAACTTAACCAACTGGTTTTACAAGAAAAAAACAAGTTTTGTTTTCTTTTTGAGGAATAATTTAAATTTTAAATATTTTATTTATTATTTTTTATTTTATGTGTATGAGTGTATTGCCTGCATGTGTATAAGTACATCAGTGTCATACAGTGCCCGCAGAGGTCAGAAGAGGGCATTGGATCCTCTGGCACTCAAGTTACAGATGGTTGTTAGCTGCCATGTGGGTGCTGGAAATTGAACCCAGGTCCTTTGCAAGAGCAGTCAGTACTCTTAACTGCTCAGCCTTCTCTCCAGCCCCTAAATTTTTACTTATACTTAGGTACTTGCTTCCCACATCAGGCCTTTGGTCTCAGGACAGTGTTTGTGACTGATACCTCATCAGGATATTTTCAATTTGTAACAGTTATAGCTTTAGATTATCTGTAAGTTACTCTGGTCAGCTCCTCCTGAGGCACATGAATAGAGCTCCGGAATTCCAGGACTAACATTCCAGGCTGGAGTGGTGGCAGTTACAGGGTGGCTGTGTAATGGCTGGGAGAAGCAGGAGGTAGTGCCCATTGTATCCCATGAAGGGAGCTTTGCTAAGCATCTGCACTTCTAGGACTAGGCTGGGCTCTGAGGATAGGTGTGCAGGGGGAGGGCCAAAGAACTTCCCGAAAGGGGCTGTCTTTCAATCTGTCCCAGCCCTCCTGTGAGCTGAGGCCTCCAAGACCACTTCTGGATGGGAAGGGCTAGGGAAAGGAGAGATAGGCTCAAGTCCTTGGGTTTAAGAACTGAGGCCCTGTGGTGGTGGGCTCACCACTGTCCTGTTGCCTGTTGTCATTGGACTCTCTCTACTGGTAAATATTAGCAGTACATGATGATGCTCCAGTTTCGCATACCTGGTTGGCAGATTTTCCCCAAGTATGAATGCTCATGTGGCTTAACTATGGAAGTCCCCATGTGCATTTGTTTTCACCCATTAGTTGAGAATGTTATGTAAATGGAATCTTCTTAACCTAGAAGGTCATATTCATATTGCATACCCATTTACTTGTAGTGAATTGTTTAAAGTTGTTAACACTTGTTTAAACTTTTTTTTTATACTACAGCATTTATGCTGGTTTACAGAAGTTATGAAATTATTTTTTATCAGTATGGGAATTAATTAAAATTTTGAATCTTTTAAAAAAAGTTAACATTATCATCTACAGTTCATTTGATGATCTTAATTCTTTTCTAAAGGTAAATAATTTGTCCCTTACTGGAAAGGTTACTGTACTTCAAAACTGAAAAAAAACTAGAAATTTAAAGAAATACTTGACAAAAGTGCTGCTTTCACTAACACAAGCAAACTCAGAAGTACTCTCTATAAGAAGAGTTTGTTTTCAAACTAAGATACTTACAGGAAGGGTCTGAGACTGCTGTGTGAGATGATTTTCTTGAACTTCTGGAGGAGGCAGAAGGAGTTGGGCTGCGATCAAACCTTTCCAGCGCTTCCTTGAGACTGACTGTGTTTATTCGATTGTCAGACCCAGAATCTTGGCTCTAAGGAAACAGGAAAATAAATGTTTTCTTATAGCTCAATTCAGATCTCAATTTAGCAATACTGTTTGCTAACAATAAAGTAAAATCAGGGGCTGGGAAGATGGTTTAGTGGGTAAATGTGCTTGCCATGCAAACATGAGTTTGAATCCCCCCAAAATACCTAAAGCCAAGTGCAAGTAGTACACCTTTGTAATCCCAAAAATGACACAGCAAGAGCCCTGGCAGGAAAATTCCTGAAGGTCAGGGATGGCTAACCTGGTGTACACAGCAGAAAAACAACAAAGAGACCCTGACTCCCAAGGTTGCCCTGGGCAATGGCACAGGCGTGCCCACATTCACACCACAAACATGTGCACAATGGTGTACACACACACACACACACACATACATACACACACAAAGTAAATCAAACTCAGTTTTTATCTAAAACTCAGTTTTAAAGTATATATGTATATATTTATTAGACAAGAAAAATTCTTTTTTATATACTGTTCAGTTTTTTAAAAGACTATTTATTATTTTTATTTTATGTGTGTGAGTGTATTGCCTGCATGTGTTTGTAAGTGCCCCTGTGTCCTGCAATGCCTGAGAGGGTCAGAAGAGGGCATCAGAACCCCTGGAACTGGAGTTAGGGATGGTTGTTAGCCACCAAGTGAGTGCTGGGAATTGAACCTGGGTCCTCTGCAAGAGCAGCCAATGCTCTTAACCTCTGAGTCATCTCTGCAGCCCCTACTGTTTTGACTTCATTTTCTATTTAGAGAAATAACAAGACTCAAGCCAGACTCTTATATCATGTACAAAAATTAACTCAAAGTGGATCAAAGACCTAAATGTTATGAGCTAAAACTATAAAACATTTGAAGAAAACATAAGGAAATGATTTTATAACATTGAATTTCCCAATAAAATGGAATTCAAAAAAAAAAATAAGAACGCCATCAACAGAATGGAAATAATCCACAAGACTGGGAGGAAACTTAAATTGTTGTCTGATCAGGATTATTATCTAGAATAAAGAACTTCCTAGAATTCAATAATGATAACTCAATGATAAGAAATGGACAAAGAATATGCCAGGTGTAGTAGTATGCACTTTTGTGTTGTGTATACTGTTGAGACAAAATCTCATACTGTGGCTCAAACTGGCTTTGAACCTGTGGCAATTCTCCTGTCTCAGCTTCTCAAGTGCTGGAATTATAGGAGTGAGCAACTGTACTCAGCTAGTAAGTACCTGTAAGCATAGCATGTATAAGTCTGAAGCAAGAGGGTCACTTGAGCTCAGCCCGGGCAACCCAGCAAAAGTCTCTACAGAAAAACAACCCCCCCCCCACCTCCCCCCTAACAAAGAGAACAGGTTCGGTGTGGTGGCATACACCTGTAATCCCAGTACTTGGAAGGTAGAGGCAGGAAGATCAGGAGTTTAAGGTCACCCTTGCCTGTATAACCAGTTCAAAGCCAGTGTAGCCTGCATGAGACCTGACTCAAAAACTCAAACAGATAAATGAATACACAAATAATACATAAATAAGAAAACAAAAGTAGGAACAGGCAAAATAAACACTTTTCCAAAGAGGACATACAAGCACCTAAAAAGTTGCTCACACTGATGAGGAAAATGACAATCAAATCCATAACAACACTACTTCATACACTATTTGAAATGGCTACTGTGAAAACAAAAACAACCTCCTCTTTCTCCAAGAAACCCCAAACCAGGCTGGGCATGATGGTGTACCTCTGTGATCTCAGCACTTAGGAGGAGATGGGTCTCCTCCACCTTCATTAACTTTCCCAGCCTCTATTTTGCCTCCATCTCCCATTTCTTCCCAGTCTCTGGAGCCTTCCACTTGCCTTAGTGTCCATAATTAACAAACTACTCTGCACTTTCCTTCTTAACTCTGATTTTTTTCTTCACTCACCTGTTCTAAAAACCAGAGTCATCATTTTTCTTGTAGTTCTCTTCAGAGGAGGCAGTTTTCTCTCTTATGACTCTCAGCCACAGCTGTACAGGTGGAAGAAAAGTCCTCCTATTCATGTTTCCACCCTAGTTTCCCTGCCTCCTTTCCACAGACTCGGGTATGGAGCTCACATACCATATAAGTCCATTTCTAATTATTATGAGCTAAAACTATAAAACATTTGAAGAAAACATAAGGAAATAATTTCGTGACATTGCAGTCATGACACCATCCTATGGTGACTTCACAGCAGGTACTGGAATTAAATTTCAGCTTCAGGCTCAGTATTCCCCTCATCAAATTACTTCCACTAATACTCAACCTAAACCCTCTTTTTTTCCTTGGTGTCCTTTCTTTCGAGATTGTGACATCACTAGTCTTTGACTATAATCCTTTCAAAGCAAAGGATCTCAATTTCAAGCATCCTAGTTTTCTGATCACCGTTGTCACATTACCTACTATTCCCTTTACTATTCTAATTACAATAATCCTTTGGCTTGAATGTAACTTACACAAATTCTACAACATTTCCAAAATCACAGTTTTACTTTGTGTTCTCCCTTCTCTTCATACATCTTAAATTTATGTTTAATTATTATAACAACTATGCATATACGTTCAATACCTTAGCTCCTGTTTCCTTTTACCATCACAGTTCTTTAGCAAAATCCCAATGCCGGTTAAACCAACATTTTATTTATACTACACAGCAGAACACGGCCAAAGAAATATAACATGGGTCAGAGAGATGGCTCAGCAGTTAAGAGCAATGTCTGCTCTTGAAGAGGACCTGGGAATCCTAGCACCCACATAGCAGCTAACAACCATCTACAACTTCAGTTCCAGAGGATCCAATGCCCTCTTCTGTCCTCTGTGGGCACTGCACGACATGGGTGCACTTACATACATGCAGACATAACACTCATACACTTAAAAAAATAAAAAATAAAGTAAAAAAGAAATACAACATGTTAACTATTCTCACTTCAGATTAATAATCAAGTGCCTCATGAGGACTCTCAATCTGCCTGCCACACAGGTTGTAAATCTCCACAACACTATTCTATTCTACACAACCGTGTGACACATTGCCTTTCTTCACAAACTTCCCCAAATTCCTTTATTTTTTAAAAATTTTGTTTGTATGTGTATGGGTGTTTTGCCTGCATATATGTAAGTATACATGTGCATGCATTGCCTGTGGAGGACAGAGGAGGGCACCGAATCCCATGGAAGTGCAGTTACCAAACCTAGGTCCTTTGCAAGAGCAGTCACTGCTTTTAACTGTTGAGCTATTTCTCCAGAACCCTCAAATTCCTCTTAGCCAGTACCTACAGTTATTATTTTACTGGGAGCACTGTCATAAGCTCCCACTACTCTATTTACCTGCCTGCCAACTGGATTTAATCAACATTAAGATTTTGTCAAGGAGTGTGATGAAGGAGGGTTGAAGGTAGAGATCATAGGTTATGATCTCTAACCATGAATATAAACTGAGCAAAGAGGAAAAGGAGACATAAAATGAGAATCTGACTATGAAAATGGGATATTCACATTATCTTTCCTCACACTGCTACAGTAAGGAAGTAGACAACTCTTTCTGTCATACTGGTTCCAGAGCGTGACTCTTTAGATCTTCTGGATCATATGTAACTATTAAATTCTGTGACTGCAGCACAAGCGTAGCCACAGACAAAATGTAAGCAAATGGGTGTGGCTTTGTTATCTATAAGCACTAGGGTGTGAATCTGGTATGTGTCATGTGTAATAAAACATTCTTATTTTAATTTTTCATCTACTTAAATACATAAAACACACTTGTAGTTTGTGGATGTTATAAAGCCAGTCAGAAGGCCAGAGGTGGCACTACAGCCATAGTGCCAGCCCTTGAGAAAGCTAAAGAATCTGTTCCCACTCAATGCATACTTCCACTTGCACACAAGACTGACAGTCTCATATCTACCCATATCTTCAATTTCTACTTCCCTCTTTCCCTCCATCAACTCTTCTCTCCCCATCATAGCAGATAATAAACACATTGTCTTTCTACATGATATAACAACAGAAAAGAAAGCAGAGTTCAAATTCAAATTACAATTTTCCAGTCATGCATCTTTAGGAAATGTTCCCTCTTAAAAACAGCTTCAGTATTTTCAAAGTGGGGATTATTACCTCAGATAAGGCCACCTAAGAGGCAAATCACATTTCATAATCATATAAAGAATATAGCCAGAGCCTAGTACATAACATGCAATTAACAATGATTGTTTTAATCTTTGATTGGTTTTAACACTAACCTAATTAGTGTTAAAAGGCAGAATCTTCAATTCCTTTTTAGAAGCAAATGAAATTTGAAAATATTAAATTCAAAACAAAAATAATCATATGTCCCTCACAAATGAGGAAATGAAACATTTGAAAAATAATTTTTGCTATTAATTATTGAGTACTGTGCTTCACTAGGGAGAAATTAAACTCTTTTTTGTTTGTTTAAAGACTGTAAGAAACATACTTTGTCAGCAGCTGCGTCAGGAAGAGACTCTTCAATGCCAAGTTCTCGTCGTCTTTCAGCTCTAACTTCTGCATAACTACAAAGGGGAAGAATCAAATTTTAATGTCTGGTCATTTATTTAAAATACTACAGAACTGCAACTATTTGGCATTATGTATCTTACTTGATCATCACTAATTCTGTATAATTTTCTATGTGCTAAATAAACTTAACACATGTCTGTGATATTCTATTGAAATTCAATCTGTACTTTTTTTAGGCATTCTACAAACGATCTGTAAGGATAAAGTACATAAATTCAGAGAAACTAAGTAAGAATATGCATATCTACTCTGGTTTTCCCTTCGTATGACTTACTTTGATACGTAAATGTCAGTACAATTTCTTCTATAAACCACAAGACTCAGGTCAGGTTTTATATATCTATGCATTACTTGCATCCTATTTCTTATTATCATGTTATCATTAGGTCATATAAATTTAATAATAATAGACTTCCAAATATTAAAAATAGGAAAAAAATCACTGTCATTCATTCAAGTATATAAAAATTATATTATCAAGATTATTTTTGGGTATTATGACTTAGAAATTCTCTAAAAGAACTATTACCTTACTACAGTGTGAGTACACACAATAAACTCTGGCCTTGAATTCCACTGATGATAAGTGATGTAATAATGAGTCTGAAGCCAAATCCACTGCTGTCCTTTGGTCAGGAACCTGTAATAACATGATTTTCCTTTTCCATACTGCATTACTGAAAAGAAAAGAAACAAATCTTTTTTTCTTGATCCATATTTAGTTATGAAGAATCTGGGTTTCTTTTAAACCAAAAGCTATTATTTGCATTAAATCTTCATGTAGATTATATTTCTGGCTTTCAGAAATATATATCACTTATAAAGATGTTATTCTTTAAAGCTAGTTTAAGCACCCCCCAAATAATCAGAGCTTCCAGCTGACACTATTGATTATTGCTAACCTTACACATTTTTCATACATAATAAACTTCATCTACTTAAGGAATTACATTGCTGACTTCCTCTTGCCTAAATATAATGCTTAAGGGAAGCAAGAATAACATTTCAAAAATCTGAGTATTTTCCCCATAGATGCTGTCGGGCATAATATTTCTGAGGTGTTTTAATTTTAAAACTGTAACTAAACAAAGCCCAGAGCGATTTAATTATCTGAAGTAACTGTTAAGTACAGTTTCCCAAAGCAAAGATTTTAGGCTCTAAAAATTCCCAAGATTTTAGACTCTAAAGCATTTCTGACAGATGCTAAGCAAAACTTAGGTTCTGTGGTTAAACTGACTTGGGAAACATCACAGATTTTTGAAATGTTACTAGAAGATATTCCTTTATATTACATATATGATCAATCTACTAGGAACGAAAAGTCAAATATAAACGTGTTTCTATATTCACTGATTAAAAACCCTTCTCTCTTAAAAAAAAAAAAAACCCTTCTCTCAAAAACTGTCTTTCATTAATAGAAAAGGGTTTCTACTTGTGTTTTGAAAGAGTAATCACTGGAAACATTAAGCTCTACTTACAGTGCTCATGACATTTTGCCAGGTTTTCTAGGTCATCCACATGATAGTAATCATAGCCTGATGTTCCCAAAACTTCAAATGGCAAATATCCTATTATTGGTGGTGCCCTAAATTACAGAACAACAACAACAACAACAACAAATCAATTTGGAACTTTTCTAGAAGAAACATCACAACTACAAATCATTTTGGGGGAAAGGTTTTACTTTTTTGAAAAAATGGATAATGAATTTCAAAATCCTGATCATAAAAGGTTTGTCAGAGTCCATTAATATTCAGAATTACAACTCTTACCTTTTTCATGAAATTTAAAGATGAAGTTACCTGTGATCTAGAAATAGAAACTTCCATTCTAAACTATGTCTAGATGTAAACTCTTCATTGGGTTCTTCCACAGTACACATTTCCTACAAACAAATTAACAAGTAAAATTTCCTGTGTTCTTAGAAAAATATGAAATATTATTAGACATAAGTCATTATTAACACATTTTAGTTTTTTAGTATTAAAGAAAATGTGCATCAGGTTAGGACTATAAAGTGATAGAGTGTACAAAGTCAAGTTCAATTCCCAACAAAGCAAACAACAACAAAAACTCCTAAAATTTTACACATCAGTAACAGATGCCAGCTTTAGGGCAAGCAGCTGAAGTCTGATACATTTCCCATTCACTCACATACCTTACCCTAAATTCAGATCTCTCATTTGATTTACACTGTCCTTTTTTGTTTTTTGGGTTTTTTGTTTTATTTTTTTTTTTTTTTTGGTTTTTTTGAGACAGCGTCTCCCTGTAGCCCCAGCTGGCCTTGAACTCACAGAGATCCACATGCCTCTGCCTCTCGAATGCTGGGACTAAAGGTGAGTGCCATCATGCCTGGCAACACTGCCCATTTTTTAGAGTCTGGGTATGCCTTAAAAAAATAAAAACTAATTGCCTTCACATAGTTATATAATTTCCCATCTCATCAATGCTCTCACTTCTGTGCAGTGACATAATCTAGAAATCAACATAGTCTTTACTGTTTTACTTTTCATAACCAAACTGGCCATTACTAAACACTTTTTTAAATACAGATTTTAATTTTATTTATGTGTTTGTGGGCATATGCCATGTGTGTGGTCTCAGAGGCCAGAAGGTGGTGTTGGATCACCTGGAAATGGAGTTATAAATGGTTGTAAGCCACCAACATAGGTGTTGGGAACCAACTTGTAGTCCTCTGCAAAAGCTGTACAATCTCTTAACTGCTGAGCCATCTCTCTACCCCTACGTGCTTTTAATTTTACTTTCCGGGTATTTAAAAATCTATTCCATTCCATCAATCTTGAGTGATCACTGCCATCACTGACTCACCTCACTGTATAATAGCATCTTATCCATCTTCCTATCCTTCAATTTATCTTTTATTCTGAGGCCAAAATTACTAATACTCAAATATGATTACATGACTTCCACACTTAAAAATCTTCTATGGTTCCTCATGCTGAAATCTCTTCATTGAGAAAAACTGCAGAAAGGACAAATTTTTTATCTGACCCGTTTACTTTTCTAACATTATTTTTCACTATTCCTCTCTCTCATATCCATGAATCCTAGACTCTGTTGTACAAAAGCAAATATTACAACCTTCCTCTCTCTCCTTATATGATCTTCGTTAACAGTTAAGAGCTGGGGCTTTTAGAGAAAGAATCAGCATCAAGTCTCAGTTCTAACCCTAAGTGTCGGTTTCCTTAAATACAAAATGGGGCTAATAGCACCTATCTCATATGATTATAAAAATTAAATGAGATACGGCATGTGAAGTATGCAGTTAGCACTCAAATTGCCTAAAATCAAGACAGGAAGACTAGTTTAAGATTTTCTAACTGCTAACTCAGAACTCTGTCACCCAAATTTTAAATCTCACACTGGCTTCTTTCCAGTGACTTTCTAGTGTCTGAACTATTTTCCTTCCCTGCTTCCTTACTAATCTGCTTTAGGGGCCCAGGAAATTTTTAAAAAAGCATTATTTAAAATTCAAAGAGCAAATTATATCCAGTAAAGCCCATCTTTTAAAAACTGCCTCAGGTTTTTTTTAACTTTAATGAAGATAGTGAACTATACACAAAACAGTCTAGAATTCTGTTCAAAAGCAGGGCAATAGTAATATACTACCATGAGTTACCTGCAAAGAATACTCTACAAAAACTGGTTGCATATTTAGTATTTTATAATTCATGGTTTTAAAAATATCAAGTTCATACATATTTAATGACTCATAGACACAACTACTCCAATATTTGTGCAAGTTTCATTCCTTCTAAAGACGATAACAGCAGCAAAAATTGCACAGGAGCAGTTCTTATATTATGAACGCAAATTCACTTAGAACAATTAATCCTGGAAACATACCTTGATGAACTGGGGTGTAGCTAACCTGACAGTAGCTACAAAACAAACTCTATCTTCATAAGAAGGCCTGTGTGTGCGCTGTATAGTTCCTTCAAAACCATTGTGTGCTGAAGTTGGTACTACAATGAGGAAACGTGTCATCAGTTAATCCAGTAAAATCTAGTTGCTATTAATATTAAAGCATTCTAAGAGCTTAGAAAAATTTAAAAATCCAGTTAAAATATACTGCAAAAGAAGCATTTTAACTCACCACTGTTTAAAGATTTAAAATTTCCTATAAATCTCACATATTCATAGGTGGATGGCTCCTTTGGATCTATTGTTCCTCGAAGCATATGACAACAGAATTCTAGTTGATTTTTTGCTGAAACAAGCAATAAAAAGTTGGGTAAGTTCACAATTGTTTCTCCAACAGAAGTATTTCATGGCATTTTATATACTCCATAAAAGGCAAGTACTGTAAGAGATGGCTGTACACCTAGCACCAGCCAGCATTGTCGATGACTGCACACCTGGCACCAGCCAGCACTGTCGATGACTGCACACCTGGTACCAGCCAGCACTGTGAAATAACTGCACACCTAGCACCAGCCAGCACTGTGAGATGACCGCACACCTAGCACCAGCCAGCACTGTCGCTGACTGCACACCTGGTACCAGCCAGCACTGTGAAATAACTGCACACATAGTACCAGCCAGCACTGTCGATGGCTGCACACCTGGTACCAGCCAGCACTGTGAAATAACTGCACACCTAGCATCAGCCAGCACTGTGAGATGACCGCACACCTAGCACCAGCCAGCACTGTCGATGACTGCACACCTGGTACCAGCCAGCACAGTGAGATGACCGCACACCTAGCACCAGCCAGCACAGTGATACCAGCCAGCACTGTCGATGACTGCACACCTAGCACCAGCCAGCACTGTCGATGACTGCACACCTAGCACCAGCCAGCACTGTCGATGGCTGCACACCTGGCACCAGCCAGCACTGTCGATGACTGCACACCTAGCACCAGCCAGCACTGTCGATGGCTGCACACCTGGCACCAGCCAGCACTGTCGATGACTGCACACCTAGCACCAGCCAGCACTGTCGATGGCTGCACACCTGGACCAGCCAGCACTGTGAAATAACTGCACACCTAGCACCAGCCAGCACTGTCAATGACTGCACACCTGGTCCCAGCCAGCACTGTGAAATAACTGCACACCTAGCACCAGCCAGCACTGTCGATGACTGCACACCTAGCCCCAGCCAGCACTGTCGATGACTGCACACCTGGTACCAGCCAGCACTGTGAAATAACTGCACACCTACCACCAGCCAGCACTGTCGATGGCTGCACACCTGGTACCAGCCAGCACTGTCGATGGCTGCACACCTAGCACCAGCCAGCACTGTCGATGACTGCACACGTGGTACCAGCCAGCACTGTCGATGACTGCACACGTGGTACCAGCCAGCACTGTCGATGACTGCACACGTGGTACCAGCCAGCACTGTCGATGACTGCACACGTGGTACCAGCCAGCACTGTCGATGACTGCACACGTGGTACCAGCCAGCACTGTCGATGACTGCACACGTGGTACCAGCCAGCACTGTCGATGACTGCACACGTGGCACCAGCCAGCACTGTCGATGACTGCACACCTGGTACCAGCCAGCACTGTCGATGACTGCACCCCTGGTACCAGCCAGCACTGTGAAATAACTGCACACCTAGCACCAGCCAGCACTGTCGATGACTGCACACCTGGTACCAGCCAGCACTGTGAAATAACTGCACACATAGCACCAGCCAGCACTGTCAGATGACTGAACACCTAGTACCAGCCAGCACTGTCGATGGCTGCACACCTGGTACCAGCCAGCACTGTGAAATAACTGCACACCTAGCACCAGCCAGCACTGTGAGATGACTGAACACCTAGTACCAGCCAGCACTGTCGATGGCTGCACACCTGGTACCAGCCAGCACAGTGAGATGACTGCACACCTAGCACCAGCCAGCACTGTGAAATAACTGCACACCTACCACCAGCCAGCACTGTCGATGGCTGCACACCTGGTACCAGCCAGCACTGTGAAATAACTGCACACATAGTACCAGCCAGCACTGTGAAATAACTGCACACATAGTACCAGCCAGCACTGTGAGATGACCGCACCCCTAGTACCAGCCAGCACAGTGAGATGACCGCACACCTAGCACCAGCCAGCACTGTGAGATGACTGAACACCTAGTACCAGCCAGCACTGTAGATGACTGCACACCTAGTACCAGCCAGCACTGTGAAATGACTTAACACCTAGTACCAGCCAGCATTGTAGATGACTGCCCACCTGGTACCGGTTAGCAGCTACTTCTCTTTCCAGCACCTCTTTTCCCATTCTTCACTCTAATTTCAAAGAAAGGTTTTGCTCTCCATTCTAAAGTCCCCTTCTTTCCTCCCCTTTTTTCTGCTGCTGTTTGTTTTTTGACAGGGTCTCACTCTATAGCACAGGCTGGCCTAGAATCTGTGATCCCCTTGCCTCCAGCTCTTAAGTGTTGAAATCACAGGCATGTGTCACCACACCAGGCTTCATGTTTCCATCTCTACCTTGAACAGTCTTTCTTAGCTTCTTTCTACAATTTTAAATTTCCTCAGGTCTTCCATCTTTCCAAACAAAGACTTTTTCATGATAATCTTGTTGGCATCAGAAAACCCCTTCCTTTTCAATACACACTCTAGCTTCCATATATTCTTTTTAACTTTGTACACCTTGGATCTCACCCTTATATCCCTACAGCAATGACTCCTCCAAATACTACTGACATTTATTTGTATTACCAATATCCAGTAGTTTTTCCTTACTGTTTCTAGCTCACCTTAAAACTCACTCTTTCTCATCCCCATAGCATGAACTTGCCTTTCTACATTAATGAATATTCCTATCTCTTCTGCTAATTCATTGTTAAACTAGAGACTTTCACAAAGGTTTTTCTGGGAATGACTTTTTACTATCTTTTCTACATTCACTGATCTTGGAGGCTGATTAACTTCTCTCTCTCTCCCCAACTCTAACATTTTAGGATATGACAGTCTCATATCACTATTCACTTTCAAGACATTTCCACTTGATTGTTTCATTGGTAATTTCAACTCAATGTTATTTGAAAGTCAATTTATTATCTTTCCTCCTAAGTCATCTATCTGTGTCCCTGATATAGATATTCATTTTCCAACTCAGAAAGCACATCCTTACTTCCATGTCAATTTGTTCTATCCATTTCCCATCACAAGCTTCCAACCTAACCTGTTACCAGGATCTGATATTTCACCAAAAAAGCTCACAAACTGGCTTTTCTCCAACTGAATACTTACTACCACCAACTAAATACCATCACAAATTACATCAAGTAACTGAAATATTTGCTAATGCTTCTACACTTTGCCTCTGATTTGTACTTTCCTGCTACTTTTAGACTAATGCTACTTTCATCATGTTGCTTCAGCATTCAAGGACTACATCAAGCTTATGCTGTTCTGTATTACTAGCTGTATCATCTAACCCAACGGGTTCAAAATCTATGTCCTCCCTTGGTTCTTCACTGTGTAAAAAATAAACTCCATAGGATGAAATACACACTGGGCGTGGTAGCATGCGCCTTTAATCCCAGCCCTCAGGAGGCAGAGGCAGATCTCTGTGAGATCGAGGCCGCCCTGGTCCACATCGTGACTTCCAGGTGGGCTATGACTAGGGAGACTCTGTCAAAAATCAACAAAAAGACCAAGGTCGGGGGGGCATAGGATGAAATACTAGCTCCTTTATACCCATAACTCTGCCTCATACACATCACATCATCTGTACCAACTCATTATCATTATGGCCCCAGTGACCTACTAAGTTTCAAAGCAATATACCCTCTATTTTAACTCATTTATTCCTTTGTAGTGACATTCTTTTTTCTCTGGAAAGAACTTCATTTGTGCTTGTCTATCAGATGTTTGGGAAATCATTAGCAAGTCACTTAATAAAGACTTCTCTGATCTTAGAAGCAGGAGTCTAAGCTCTCTCTGCCCAATTCTGCTCTTTTAAGGGTCTAAAACTAACTCCTCCTTGCTCCACCTGCTGATACCTGAGGTCCCAACTTTCTAATTCTCTCCTTACTCTATATACATTTACCTTAAGCAACACCATTTATTCCGTGACTTCAAATACTATTTACAACCATAAAACAAAACTGGTTTCTATATTAACTATGTGTAGCCCAAGTCTTTCTTCTAAGTACCAGATTAGAATGGACTAATAGTCAGTGTATAAAAGGTGACTATAAAAATTATATAGGCTTCAACTGAATGTAATTTGGCCCTAATCACACATGGTCTCCTGGATTTGGGGAGGACTAAAGTATACCAGCCAACTGTATGCAATTTGTCCCTAATCACACATGGTCTCCTGGATTTGGGGAGGGCTAAAATATACAATCTGGGCAAGGCTAGGAAGAGAAGGCATGATCCATGGTGGCTAAAGACTTTCCACCGTGCAAACTTTCAGGTTACACATAAACCTCAGCTGCCCCTCACTTATGTCAGTAAGTAAGCTCAGTAAATCCATTGGTTCCCCAGTAAAACTTTAATCAAACATTGGTTTGGCACTAGAACATTAAAAGGGAATGAGAATTGCTGTGTATCCGGAGGAAAAGAATTCTCACAACAGATGGAAAATATATTTCTTAATGTTATTATGTCTCATAATTATTTAAAAAAAAAGAAAATGAGAATGTAAAAGATGTTAAAAGGATATGGGAATGGAGATATTTTCCAAAACAGACACAAAAAATGAGAATGCCTAAGCAAGTGGGGAAGGTCTGTGTAGGTTTGTTATGATATATAAAGGAT